CTAGGCTATATTTGCATGTCTATTGCCTATTTCACTGTAGTTGTCCTGAATCCAATGGTAACTGGGTCAAATCCAATGACCCCGTAGGGTCGCGCCTCTCTCCTTCGGGCAAACGCTGGTATTTGGCAGCCTTATCGCCCTATGTACAGTTGCATTGTCCTGCAGCAGAAACATTTTCCGAGTGACCTGAGAGGACCGTTTATTGCCAACGGCATTACGAAGATTCAGAAAAGTGTTGCGATAGACCTCTGCATTTATAGTTGTCCCCTTTTCACGTATTCGATTAGGACATATCACCCTTCATATCCGAAAAAAGTGTTGCCATCAGCTTTCCTGCAGAGGGTTGCATGTGTGCATTTTTTAAAGGAGGAGAGCCTTTGTGGATCCACTGTTTGCATCCCAATTTCGGGTTCTGGGTCCAAATGGTGAACCCAAGTCTCATCACCAGGCACAATTTGTGCCAAAAAGTCAGCTTTTCCAAAGCTGCGAAATGGCATTGCGACATTGAAATTATGCACATTTTTTGATCAGGCGTGCACAGTCGGGGAAGACACTGCGCTGATATCTTGCTAATTGTTACGTTCACTTTGAGAAAACTTAAAAAACACAATTTGCAACATTTTTGAGCTCAGAAAAGGCTCGTTTCAGCCTTATCTGTAACACATAACAACACAATAGCTATTTGTGTATTAAGAGCGCAAAATGATATATTGTCGATTGAAAGAGACAGTTGACGCGCGACGAAGGAGCGCGGCAATCTCTTGAAATCGACAATCAATTTGCGCTCGAATTACACACAAGATTTTTTCTACAATCGATCAGTTCACATATTTCCACAAATTTAAATTTTTCACTCACATCATTTTAATCTTATGCCCAAATGAAAGATGTCATTTACTCGTTGTCATTGGATACTCTGAGCAATGCATATTTGATTTATAGTTAATAATTGGGAGAGCGAGCGTTTTTTCTATTTTGTCGCTTATAAGCGACAAAGTGACATTCCTCGAAAAAGAGAAGCGCAAATGCCTACTTTGGATATCGATTGTAGAAAAACAAACAAACAATGGGGATAGTGAATAGAGCGGCACAAAAACATTGGGGTATAGAAATGTTTTACGTCTGACACTAGCTAAATGGGATACTAAAACGTAATTAATACTCAATAAGAATCAATAATTCATTTTACGGAAAATTTTGACTCGACCACGAATCGTCCGTACAAATTAGTGTATAAAAGCATAAACGTGACGTTAACTTCAAGAAAACTACTTTACCATGCACAAATAACAAATAACTAAATTTTTATACAACAGCAATGTAATCTAATTAATTCAAAATTTAAATAAGACAGTATAAACAATTTTTTCAGAGTGACACAAATAACGTAACTAAAAATCGTACATATTTGGTTCGGACTATTTCTCAGAAATTGCAAAAAACCACAAACTAACAGGAATCTTTTTGAAAGGAATCATTTTTGTAATAAATGAACCGAAACGAATTGTAACATTTTTTTTCTGAAACTACTTTAGAAACAATTACTTTCGTCTCTAAAAAGGGCGAAGAAAATGTAATTTCCTCTCTAGTGAGGAAAGTAAAAAACAATTGCTGCGTTAATCTTAATTATGACATTTAAAATTGAAACATACTCGTATCTAGAAGGCTATGTTTCAAACTTAATTATTGCATACGATCATTCTTTAAGTTTGATTGCAGTTTTAAAAAAAATTATGTGTAAAACTTGAGAAAAAAGTGTATTTCAACTCTCGTTCAATTGACACACTCGTTGCTCATGTATCAAACTTTGAAATCAAGTTGAAAAACTCAACTTTCTTCTCTAGTTGTACAAATAACTATTAATCGTTAGTAGATTTTGTTTTGCTGAACCACCCAGAAACAGATGCTATTGTGCCAAAAAATAAAACACAAATTAGAGTCCATAGGTCCATACGTAAGCGTGGAAAATGGGGGTCGGATTCCTCATTTCACTACGTTACATTATCCGTAAATTGTTAAGAATTTGATATAACGTTGGCGAAGTTGGGACCAAGTTCAACAGCAAATTTTTGCTTCCACGAAAATCGTTCACCTTAGATATATGGAGGTGCTGGCCTTATACCCTTTTCTCAGTAAAATTCAATCGTAAAAAGGGAAGAGGAGGATTTCATTTAGAAAATTAAGTTCTCGCATTTTCAAAATTGAGAACGTTGATTTGGACCACAAGGTATGCATCTTTTGAACAATTGTTACACATTGCGTCCCGCAAATTAAAAAATTCATTGGTCAAGCTGGTATTGCAAAAGGCAAATTATTTTCTGACCGTTTAGTTTAGGCGTATGGTGACATACCAATTTGCTTCAAACTTGAACGGATTTAACATACAACGTTCTTCGGATATTAATCAATTTCGAAAGTAGAATGTTGTTGAGACTTTACGAGTGGTTTGAGTAGCGTTACTCCATTGTAAAGGTGTAGTAAGCGCCTGTGTTTCACAACCATTACCTAATTATAATATATTGTATCTGCTACGCACTCCCAAAGTAGTCAACAAAGCGATAAAAGCAACATTAAAATACAATAGTATGATATTAAATTAGGCGTTTTTAATATTTCAAAACAATAATCTTATTTTATAAACTCTACAATTTATGGACGACAAGCTAACCATAAAGAAGTTTAAAACATCGTTAACCTTATTTTTGAAGCTCTCCAAAAATTTAAGACATTTTATTACACGTAAACGACGTTATGAATTATCGTTACGATCATTCGCGAAACAAATGTTTCTTCATTTAGAAACAATTCGCCGATCAATCAACTCTATTATAATAACCGCTGAAGTGTTTTCCGCATTTAGTTTTAATTTCGTGTAGGATGGTTAATGTCTGTCAAAACTGTACATCATACTTAATAGAGCTCGTGAACCTAAAGTGGCGCTAATAACCGTCAATTCAAAAACATTAGTCGCACTTAAAAGAGTGGTTACATTGGGGTAAGGCAAAATGTTTAATTTCGGTCCAAACCGCACTCTGCGATAATGTCGTAACCGGAAGTAAAGCAAGTATTAGAATAATTAATCAAAATATACTCCACTTGGCTTTTCTGTTAGTTTACGATTCACTCACTAATGGCAAAGTGAGGGAACGAATGGCACACTTGAGCGCGTTAAGAGATTTCTATGTGGCAATGCGTTATTGTTAGTTTACCGAATTCATTTAAACAGCTTTTAACAATTCATTATAAGTCGTATAAGTTTAAAGTACTCGTTTCGAAATAGTCCAGAAGGTATGAGTGTTAACGAAGCTGCTAATTAAGTCGCCTACGGAGTGTTGAAGCCTATATAAAACACAATTAGGAAAACAGTAACGAGTTTATGGCAGTGACAGGTTATGTTTAACCAAGATGAAAGGTGTGAGGTTTTGTAGAGGTTGTTTACGTCTAACTGAATACTAACGATGGAATAAAGCGCCGATGTGGGCTATAACAAACTCACAAACACGAACTTCTGTGCCAAAGACATTGCAAAGGAAGTCACAATTAAAATCCGCCCGCAAGTTCTTTTAGACCAACTTATCCCAATTTCTACACACAATGATGCAAGAAAATATGTACATCTGAACTGGTTCCGTTTCTCTTCAACTAATCCATCAAGAAAAATCGCGTCATTGAGGCACCCAGTCTTAAGATTTGGTAACGGATAAATGCTCATCAATCTATGGACCACACAACAAGTTTCGATGTCATGTGAATAATTTACGATCGATCCTCTGATGCCTCCGAGACCAATTCAGTATCCCGCAGAATCAAAGAGAATTTTCGCCATACTGCGATTATTTTACGGCCAACTCGCAACACGGGAACGTTTACGATGTATTAAAGCGCGCCATAACCATTAAAGAGTTCGTTATAAAAAACGGAATATAAACAAACAAGAAACGTATTTAAAAACACATTTGTAAATACTTCAGGCTAAGGCCTAACGCAGGTTATATGTAGATTTAAATAGCAAGAAGTCCTTGTTAGATTTGTTAAACACTTCAAAAGTATTTCTTAAAGGAATATAAAACACACAACGTCACTTTTTGTTACCGTTTATTTCGGTTCGTTTTTAATGGACCATGACAGATTTATCAGTGACCAAATTGGAGCAGTTTTATCTGTCACAACAATTTATTAAGTTGGACCACGTTTTCTTTCAGATCACTTTACATGTGCACATATTTTTAGACGCTTGAAGATTTCAGAGCGCTTTAATTAATGAATTAAAAGTCCGGAAGCGGACGTATACACTTTTGAGATAAAAGGGGGTTCGAATTAACCCCAAAATAAGATGCTATACATGCCGCCGGAGGAATCAGGTGAGTGGTAACGCAGCCTTGCCGTAATTATGAAACGGTCTTGCAGAAGTGTTGGGACATCTTCACATCTTGAGTCACAGAAAAACTTTGCTCTCAGATGGAACGACGTAAAAGCCTCTTTGGGCATATAATCCGGAGAAGATCGTTATAGAAGTTCTTCTGAAACGAGCATCACATCACTAATGGAGATGAGAGAGGCAAAAGAGCATGAGACAAACGTTTCAAGTTCCGCAATTCCGATCATTAAGAAGGTTGAAGTGATAATTCCTACAAAACTTGTGGCAGGAAGGCCTATGTTGTACAGCGTGATCAAGTTAGCAATAGACATTGGCTGAACCAAAAGTATTTTTTATCAAATTTCTAGGATTTAAATGATACAATGTAGTTAATAATTTGGTTAGTGCTTAATGTAAAATAATTGAGGCACATGACTATAGCAATACACTTTTTTTCGTAATATTTCGTAAATATTTTCCTTGTTAATTATGCCATAAGTCTCGCCGAGGTGGGGTCCCGCCCCTTTTTAGTGAAACTTTACCATTGTACAATCTAAAATGTAGAGATGGCGCCGCAACTTTCGCTGATAGTTGATAACGAAACCGGTTTGGTATATGAACTTTGAGAGCATGCGAAATGGGTAAGACTATACTTCACAGGATCATTTCTGTAGTCGGTCTTCCAATACTCTGTTTTAAACACAGAGCATTTGCAACCATGATGAGGAGTGACAGCCTCACATCCTGAGCGTGAGACATGTTGTTAGTTCGTACAACGAATCTCGACAAACGATGATCGTTCACCCACTGAATTGTTTCGGTGGGAATGGATGTGATGCATTCTGAGTGGTTGTTCTTTATAAATCTAAAATCATACTAATGAACCTCCCAAAAATGCAAGCCCTGTGGAAGTAGTCCCACTGCAACTCGTCAATTCGGTGTTATTTTTGTTTGTGTGGTTGATGAGGTACATTTAAATGAAAAAAAACTCAAGCTGTTTCTAAATAGTTAGTCTGATCTGTTGAGGTAGTTCTCCTTTTTATGGTAGTTTTTTTCTCTTTCACTGATAACTAAAAGGTAACTTGTAGTAAATGTGACGATTCTCGGCTTATAGAGATGATTATCACTTTGTTTTGTGTCCATTCGCATATTTTTGCTTCTTTAATTAATGAGGATGTATGACCATAAAAATGCAACCTCTCGGTTTTGAAACTTCTAAAACATCGGGTTTACACGGCTAGAATATTCTGCAAAGGGGTAATTTTTTGGTAAATCAAATATCTTCTTTCAATTAATAGATTTCTACGAAGCTCTGGATAGGACACACAGGAAATTATTTTGTAAATTACAGTTGTAATTGTCAATTACACTAATTTACAGTTGTAACTGGGAATTATACTAATTTACAATTGTAACTGGGAATTATCCTTGACAGTTACAACGGTAAATTAGTTTAATTCCCAGTTACAACTGTAAATTAGCATAACTCTCAGTTACAACTGTAAATTTAGTTTCCTATTTCCTATGTGTCCTGTCCAGAGCTTCGTAGATTTCTATGGTTCAAACAGATTTTTTAAAATCCTCTGGATTACCTAGATTTTACGAATTTATTCAAATTACCAAATGTTTCTGACCGTTCGGATTTTTCCGTTTCTTCGAATAATTTCGATTCTTAAATTTTTCTTATTCATGAGGTTTCTCGATTCTTAGGATTTCTCTGATTCGTTAAATATTTCCGATTTTTCAGATTCTTGTGGCTCTTTGTTATTGAGATTCACTCTCTTCGAATTCGTTTAATTTTCTGTTTGAAACCTTCAATTATTCGTTTGTCGGCTGCTTAAAGACTTTCCAATTTCATCATCAATCAATCATGTGTTATTGTTCTGTCTGTGTATTTAGCGCATTTTTGGAAAAAAATACACTATTACATTCGTTATGGCTGGCTGACTATCCGACTGAGATCTCAGCAATTTCAATAGCTACAGACTCCAAATGTTCACTAAAAGCTTTCTAATGTAGTGTAGATGTGCAGGTTCTAGTCTATTTTGAGCTAGATTACCTGTGAAATGGATAATTAAAGAAAATAATTTGGAGATGGTTTTCGGAGGTGCTATAATTTTACCGTTAGATAGCGCTACCAGTATAACTTATTTATTAGCGCATTTTTGAAAAAAATGATTTACAACTTGTTTATAGTTGCGTATGTTAATGAGGCTCACAAAACCTCCATAAGCCTCAGCTTTTAAAGAGAAAGAAAACTTTCGAGAACTCTAAAGGTTTCTGGAAAACTCTTTATGATTCTTTGGAGCCCTTTGACGCTTTTGAAAAATGTGATAATTTTTATACTTTTAAGGGCCCATAAAAGATGTGCAAGGACCAGTTTCTTCAGCACTTTTAAAGTGCGTTAAGGATTTTACTCCTAAGCATTTTCACACAGTCTAAAAGGAAATCAATTGTTCTCAAAGTGGAGGCTCTTAGAAGCCCTTGGATTAATTGTGGGGGTCGATTTTTCATGTTTCAATTAAATTTTTCTTCTATATTTCGTGGCAATTAATGTAGATATGACGGTAACCTGAAAAATCGGTTCGCTTTTAAGTCTAAAAAGTTTTGTACTTTTATAAGAGTTTGAAAGAAAACTGGGGTCTCTTTCAGGGCCTCACGAAAGCCTTAAATACAGTTAGATACACATATATGGTTAAAAGTCGTGAAGGCTCTTGATAATTTAGGTAATAACACTATTAAATGTTTAAAAAAACTAAATCTTCTAAACATTTTTCCAATAGCTACTCGATATCTTCTAGATATCCGCATCCAAATCAACTTGGAGATTTGTTCAAATTTCAAATCCTTCTTCAAATCTTTTCCCTGTGGTCTTTCCCGGTGTCCTTGCATTTTTTTCGAAACACTTCGGCATCTACTTAAAACCTCCCCTATTTTTGAAATCTCATAATCTTAAAATTAAATCGAAATCATCTAACAATAAAACGAAATTGCATTAAAATGTTCTCAATGTCTTCTGACTCTCTTCTCAAATTTCGACATCTTGATTTCCTCGAAAGTATCTCACCATTTTGGGCTTCTTAAGGTCTGCAATAAATCTTGCTGAATTCTTTTCAAAATCTTTCTGCCACCTCATCTTCAAAGTTCCCTCTACATTTTTCCAAAATCTCTTCCAGAATTTTCTTCGCTTCTCGATATCTTTGAAATTTGGAAACCTTTGTGAAATATTCAAGTTCAAATCAAATCAAGCTTCAAATATCTTCGAAGGCTTCTCAGAGTCCTTGACACGAAAATCTTCTCGCATTTTTTTCCTGTATCTTTTCCATCTTTCTTAAAATATTGAAGTCTTTTCTGAAGCTCCCATCCAAACTTTCCTCGAACCGTCTAAGATCATTTTCCTCTTCCTCGAAAATGTATCCAAATAATTTTCCGATGAATTCCGGAAATCATTTTAAAGTGTTAGCGACCCTTAGGGACCCAGCCCAAAACTCATGATACTTTTTAGACATTCGAAGATTCTTGTATGGCTTCTAAGGATTGAGAAGGTGGTTCTGGAAGCTGCTGGAGAGAGGATATACGTGACTACTAGTACTGGTTCTCACTATATGGTTATGGTTATATGGTTTTATCAGGGGTTTTATAGACTCCTTAGTGATCTTGAAAGATTTCAAAGACTAAAACTCTTAAATAATGGTTTAAAAGCCTTTGAAGACTTTTGAAAAGTTTTGAAAACTCTAAAGATTCACCTTTAAAGGTTCTGATCTCATAGGTTAACACATCTTTAAGATTTTTCAACAATTCCAAAACCTTCCCAAAGCTCTTCAAATGTGTGTGCGAACCATTACGAGACCAATAAGATCTGATTAATTTTTTTAAATTTGTATACTCCTCGAGGATTATACCCTTCGGAAGCGTTTAGCTGCTGTCGGTGAAATGCACTCACTCAGATGGCGCTACTTGATTTAAGATCAAGCAATTTCAAACTATCATTGATGGGTTTTTGAAATAGAAAATAAACAATTGTCACACTACAATAAATTGGCATTACATTCAGTCATAAAATTGTAGGTATATGACATAAAATAAAACCTAATCCTGATCTATGCCAAATTTGATTACTTCTATCCTACTATTTGGCTTGTGGGATGTAAAAAAAGACGAGTAAACCAACAATAACACTAATAGTAACTGAAACACTTTCAACTACACGTCGAAAGTTTATGTTCCGCGTTTTGAACGGCGGAATCATGGCTAATTATGTTGATTACTACACAGATCTCTAACATTTTTTATTTATTTATATTTATATTTATTTATTTTCATTTTAGACAACCATTAAACGCATTGTGTCTTTAGAAGCAAACTAGGTGTCATCTATTTGGATTATTGTAACATACCAAATGCAAGTCCTACAAAACGCAGATAAGAAGTTAATATTGTAGTATGAAAGTGTATTCATTTTGAACTACATGAAGATGATGTGAGTTAAGGGCAACAGATAATCTTATACTAGACACGCACTTGTTTTCTAGCACTCCCAATTTGCATAGAGAAAGTTACATGAAGGTTTACTAGAGACCCATAATAAAGATGATTGAAATTAGTGCTTTTTTGCTTGTTTCAAATTGAACAAACCAAGTCCCTGATTAACGAGTATTGTCAACGCTAATGTACATATTTTTTTTACCTTTGATGTAATCTTCAAAATGAAAGTTGTAATTGCGCAACATATTCCTAAAGATAATTCTTATATTATAAAATATTCAGACGCCATAGTGTTCATTAACACCCACACTTACAGTTTCTTATTTTTATACTCCGTTAATTGCAGGATAAATTATGGAATACGAGACTGAAAATAATTAAAATGAAATTAACATTACCGAATCCTTTAATCCTCCTTTTATTTGTCTTCTCCTTTTATAGATACTATCTAAATCCGACCGCCTGCTTACTATATTAACGTAATATCGTTGACATTTCGCTGAATTTTGGCGAACTTAAGTGAGATGAAGTAATAATAAAGAGTAACTCCAAACGTGGTCTTGAATAATTAAAGATTCACCTGGATCAACATATCATTAAAGGGGAATCTAGTGACATGATTCTCTTAATTACCTTAATTTATTTTACGAGATCGCCTGGACGATACGTTGAACGTTTGTGAATATGTTAGTTGTATATAAACTTGTTTATATGTTGGGGCCTTCGGCAATCGCGTGGTTGGGTCCGGTAACTTGCAGATCTCTAAAGATAAATCAGTGTTGCTTCTTCTTCTTTTCCTTCTTGGAGTAAGTACTACTGCGCTGGAATACCGACTGTGTTGTGTCATGTAGCGGCCTAAGCTTCGACGTTGCGTGTGTACACACTATCTGCAGTATTTTCTTCGAAGTTATCTTATTGTATCTTCGTGGCATCTTTACACGCGGGTTTCGGAATTTGCAGCTTGTTTATTGTTTCTTCGGATTTAAGTGGTTTACCAGTTTTACTACCGTGGGTGGCTTATTTTCTAGTCCAAATAAGTCGACGCTACTCGAAATGTACGTAATAATTAATTTAATCTCTTCACATACAGCTGACGCACAAACCAATTTAGTAATCATCTCAATGGGTAGCTAAATTAACCCACTCTCATTCGACCGTCATTAATTCCGCATTATTACGATTTTTTTTCGAAAATTTATCCATTAGGATAAGTGCGCGGGGATCCATTATCTCTCAAAGGATTCGAGGTAACAAAAACACTTACAAGGAGAACAATATCTTTTTGTACGAATTTATCTTTTATGCAAACTATTGTTTAGATCAAAGAACCCATTCAGGTTTCGTGAAGCCATTATAAATTCTCGGTTGTAATTATTTTATTATATATTAATACAAGAAATTTTAACTCTAATGATGTTCTTCATTAATATCTTGCGGTACCTTTGTCTCGTCTTTCATGTCGTCCTCGTAAAACTGTAACCAATTCTAACGCAAAGCAAACGCATTTGATGTAATTCGGTTTACATAAAAGAGGTGGTATTTATTCAATGAAAGTGCATTTCGATGCAATAGCAGCAAGGTGCATATTAGATCAAACAGAACCCGATGTGTATTTTCTGTCCGGTGTCACGAAAATCGATTCCATTAATTTTATTTTTGAAATGAAATCCAAATATTTGCAGTCATCAGCAATTCAATGCATTTAAAGAGGTCTTAAAAAGTTTACGAGTGATTGCATCTCTATACACCGTTTAGTTAAATCCATTTAAATTCAAATATATACTTAAGAGTGAACGCAACGAAGGAGATGACATGAAATGCAATTATGAAAAAGAAAGAAAAGGAACTGAATTAGAAGCTCCCGAGCCATTTATAATGAATTAAATTTTCATATCGCTATAAGTCTATTCTCATTCTGGAAGTTTGTAAAAGAACGACCGTAGAGTTTGGGAAAATTTCGTCTAGTTAAATACAAATTTGGTTATAATAAGGTTATTACATTGGCATGAAAGTATATGTAGTTCTCTTATCGTGCCTTTTATTTATTCAGAGAAAGGGTTCCATGCATTTTCTGTTAGCTACGGAGAGTACTTCATAAGCAATTGCGCATTACGTCGCTTATTTTCACATTCAGTGTATGTACGAATTTATTTGCTACAAAATTCACTGTTTACATTCAATAATGACTGACTTTACTTGTATTCATTCACGGCAATGTATAAATCAGCAACCCTGTTAAATGTTTCGTTGCGGAAAAGTAGCCTGTAAAACTCTCAACAATTAACAATTCAATTGCTTTTCGTTATTAATTTGTTTTCTGAAATAAAAACAATGGAATGGTGCCTTATTATGGAAAATAAAAAACTTTTATGTAGAAAAATTTTGTATACAGTCGATATTTACCGAGATATATACTATATTTCATACATAATTGACACCCTGTATAACGAGAAGGCAATGACAAATGACAAAAACTTGGTCTCTCATTTGAAATGTTTCAAACGTGGTACGCAAAGGTTTGTGAAGCAACGCTTTGGGAAACCCAAAAGTGGGCTTTGAAGAGGAAACCCTCATGCAAGAGAACCTTTCCGACGATATTTGAACACAAATGCTGCACACTCTGTGGATATTGCTTTCCCGTTTAATGCAAAGGGAAAAATCCGCTGTACACTCATGACGTCATGACACTAATGTCAAACCCGGACTGAAACCAGAATAGCATTTTGCATTATTATCCAGATAAGTCAGTTTTTACTGCGGAGCCGTGTTAGGCGAGCCTGTCATCTCCTAGAGCAGTGAATTCCCAAACTTATTTCCCTGGCGCCCCTCTCATAAAACTAAAATTGCTCACGCCCCCAACCCCTATCTAGATTAAAAAATAAAAACCGCTGTTACTATAAACGTATAATACATTTATAATTTGGATTTAGATTGTAGGCATATAGAATATAATTGTTGCTTCATTGTTGATCTTTGTTGTTTAGATACATATATTTTATTGTTTCTATATTAAATGTAGTTTTGCATGTGTATAAATGTTTATAAGATCATCAATGTTGTTTATATAGGTATATTTTATTGTTACTATATTTAATTTTGTTTTTTTGCATGTTTATAAATGTTTATAAGATCATGTTATAGTTAGAAAGTATTTCCAGGAAGTATGGCAAGTTTTTAGACAGGATTGAAAACCGGCAACCGGAATCCTGTCCTTTGGTTACTTATAATCAATAAATGTTATTATTATATTATTATTTATTAAAAAAATTTCAGGATTTTTTTTCATTTTCATTATGGGGACTCGGAAGCCGTAAGATATACAAAGCCGTTTGAAAGGGCAAAGTACCTACTTATATGTGTAAGAATTGGTCAAATACCTAATATAAGTGTTTTGAAGGTAAATATTTGCCTCCCCCCACATTTGGGAAACACTGTCCTAGAGTCAGTTATAACGGGTACTTGAGTTGCACTGCAATTTCTCAAACCCGCCGCATAAACTGCCAACTAGCTCAGGGTAGGTAAAACACAAAATGAGAGCTTCAGAATCTTCTACAGCGCCATTCAATTTCCAACTTATTTCTCCCCGTATGAAATTGAGAAGATCAAAAATATAAGCCAATTTAAGTACCGGTTTTTTTGTCAAACAAATGTTCAATCAAAAATAAACTCCCCCCAATGGAACATCGTACACAAATATTCAAAATACTCCAAAAATTATAACTTAAGTTACACACAAATTTTAGTAACTTAAAATCTCTCAGTTGATTTAACCCTCCATCAAGAATGATCGATTGAATTGATTACTGAATTTTAACACATCAGTCTCCACAAATAAAGTGACGTGAACATAAACACGTACATATACCGGGTGATCGAAAAGTAGTGTGGACAGTTTGAATTTCCCGTTAAACTAAAAATTTATAAAGTTGGTAACATACCAAATGTCATTTATGTAAAAGCAGTGTTGGATCAATTTAATCACTAATACATAAATAAACTATCTTCTAAACATGTTTACCAATTCCTTAAGTAAAAAACATTAAAAACTTAAAGCGCCCAATTCAAACTGTCTGCAGTTCTTTTTGATCACCCGATATATGGGGAAATACAAGTAAAACATAAAAAAAGGCAACGCTTACCTTCATTTAAAAGGAGATGCCATCCAGAGAAGTGAGCTCAGATACTGAATTTCCATAAAATCTGCAAACAAAAGAAAACTCTCAAACCGCCTTACTCGTAATAAGCTTCTATAAGATACGGTTACTTAGCCAACTCTTCGGAAGGAAGTGGCCGTCTACAAAAACATACGTGCGAGAAAACTCGGTCATAAGTTTACAGAGGTCGCAAAATAATAAATACCAATACTGAAGGTAACCAATTAATAAATCATAGTATTCGGCCATTGAGTATATGTTTTGTGATGTGAATTTATGTATCTACAGTGATATTTATTAAGAAGTAGACATAGGGATTTACGTGTATTATTTTTCCCCAAGTCTACTTTTAAAACACAAAATTCTTCTGAAGGGCGCCTAATTTTATGCAACCCAAACAACTCATGCACACGCATTCAGCATTGCTATTCTGAATTTTGCATTCCAAACGCTTAATGCAAACTGTCTGATGGTTTTTCAATTTCACTGTTTCAGCAAAAGTTTAGCGCACCTTACTACAAGAATTCATATCTTTCTGTCAATAGCTTTGCTTCTTAGTGGCTCCGTCCTAATTTTAAACAATAAGAAAGTCTATGACGAGACGAATGGTATTTAAATTTTTTTTTTGTACACGGAAGGAGGGAAATCCTTTTCCTCAGCTGGACTAAGTATTCGGGTATGTTGAGGAAATTTGGTAGGTTAGTTGGCCCTTTGGGAATCGCGGTATATTTTACAAAACTGACTCTGATTTGGACAATTCGCCCCCAGAATAGGGGACTTCACTCCCCAGGTAAATTCGTCCCCAGAATACTATTACTAATCCTCAGAAGTTCTAATCCATGTAGATACAAAACGGGGTGGGTACTAAAGCTTGTAGAAATTCGATTTGAAAAATTCGCTCAAATTCGGTGTCGAAAATTCGCCCCTGTAATTTATTCACTTCCAAGACAGTTTCCCCCAAATAAATTCAATCCAAAAGTCCCCTTTTAACCAAATTATAATTATCCTCGAAATTGGTCCCCACCTACAGACGGTTCTCCCTTGTCAGGAACTTGCTGTAAAGAAAATGTAGGTATGTTCAGGAATGCTCAACTAAAGGATTGACCGCGTCCTCGAAATAACTGTTTTACTTTCTGTGACCAAATTCGCTCCGGTGAATTCGCCTCTAAACGTACAACCTATTCTCTAGGTAAATTGCCCCCTGAAGATTTGCCTCCAGAATGTTCGCCCCCAAGGATGATTCGTCTCGCTCACTCGAATATAAAACTATAAGACTATAAAAAAACAATGAAATTCGGAAACGCTCTACCCTAAAAAACTACCATTAAGAAATCTCGGTCTTGCAATATTTTATATGGTCTCCACTAAATTCTGTTTTTGTGACATAATTCGCCTCCAAAAATCACCCCAAGCCCGGTTTATCTGATGCATTTAAAATGTTTCTTTGAAGCTAGTTCCTAGCAAGTAGCATTAACATTTGGGGGGTTGAGTTTTATAGGTTCGAGGTTTTGCTGACAGTACCTAGGTTACTTTTTACTAGTATTTTCATTATCCTAGACCAGAACAGATGCAAATGTTCAACACAATGTAACTGAAGACAAATTTGTTTATCTCGGTAATTGCTCTTCGAGCGCAAAAAAGACGAAAATTTCCTCATTATCGTACCGTCAACAAAGCACCTGAGAGAATAATTTGTCCCATTTGAACTACTATTCCGCGCTCGTTGAACAAATAAACGACAGAATACCGTGTTTTATAATACTGTTAGAATAACGCCTGGAGTAATAGCGGTGTGAAACTCGACCACTTTACTGTATAATGCAATAAAAAACGTGCAATTATCTGAGATAGTTACCATTAATTCACCTTTAAGGTTCACGTAGAAGCATAATAGCTTCAGTTTACGAACGTATCTCAAATTAATTTTCTTGTGTAAGTAAGGTAAAGATGATCCTAATTCAATTACGTACAGTTCAATTACAGACAATACCAAATTGAATATTAATTGATATGCAATACGTAGCATCAATTAATATTCTAAATCACGAGGTGCTCGTTAAATTCGGCTTTAAAAATTTACATGCTGTTGTTTTTGGATTTGTATTATTTTTTAGTGCCCATTCAATTTAAAGGTATCGATTTTATTCTTCTCAAGTACAAAAAATTATGCTCGGCACGAAACGTATAAAAAGTGCGTGTACGCGTCTTGTTCTTATAGGGAAACTATTAACACACAAAACTTTCGGAAGTAGGTAATCCTGAAGCGACTTACGATAATGTTAAAATATTATGAAGACAGTTTGCCCTAGTTCGCTTTTTATTTTGCGGGGAATTTAGTCGAAAACTCAAATAAATCACTCTGAGGGAAAAAACGAAATTGCTGCTCAAAGGCAGCCAGCTCTGTGCTCTGGCTTCGCTTCATTGCGAGGAAATCAATTAAAGCAATTGCTTTACTCATGCTCTTATTTCATTTCAAAGGGATTTTAAATGAGTAAAATAATTACAGGTAAATTATGTCTGGTTTTGACAAAGTGAAGCGGGATGGGTTCCGTTTTGTGAAGAATTGGTCGTACTTAATCATTTTAGATTAAGAATATATCTATAGTTACAGTAACACGCCTTTAATTCATGGAAATTAATCAAGTATCCAATATTTATAGAAGGGTTTCTGTAATTGTCTTTTATTTGGTTCTTGTTTTCAGTAATTGTCTTTTATTTGGTTCTTGTTTTCAGACGCAAAAGATCGCTATAGGAATTGGAAAGCGTAGTATTTATTGACTATTGTTTCGAAAAGTGAGTAAATCGCGTTAATCAAAGACCGTATACGAGCTGTTTACTGAAGACCGCCCTTAATTCTTATGATAGTTTAATGTCACACGCACAAATTGCATCTTACGAGAACTCTTAAGCCCACGCCCTGGCTCTATCTTGTTTCACAAAAGATCTTTATCCAAATGAGGGGGCAAGCAGAACAATTATGATGAATTGGACTTGATTACAATGCGAAGCTTAAATGTGGTAAAGATTCCAACAGTCAATGATGATATTGTAGAGGAAATATTCAAAGATCCATGACATGGACAAGAAATTTAGTAAGTACGTAAGAGTACTCTATTATTAGGGATCCACAGATCCTGTATAGTTTTGTATGGTTCTCCATCCTTTTGTCCACCTTTTCGTCTGTGTTCTCTACAGCTCTTAGTTAAGATCCTCACATACTTTTAATCCTGTCCGTGCGTCCGTCCGTCTGCACTATAACTCTTTTTAAAAGTGGCGGATCGTATTGGTGTATGGGTACTTTGGACATTAAGGTAGGACGCTATTGATTTTCAGGAAGCTAGCTCAACAGGAACAAAAGTTATAGACTTCGAGTGAATCGGGAACAGGAAAAAATAAGTGTGCTCAATATAATAGAAATCAACATATTCCAGGTCACGTATCGAGTTCGGGCTTTCGGTAGATTATTCTCTATGACTCTGATGTGTAACAATTCAATATAACACTACTATGTGGTTTAGGTTTAAAGGCTTTCGAGCATAATGTACCCAAATTTAATCTTCCCACATGAATTTGGAGTTTTAAAGCTTTCAAACGCATTGAACCCATTATCCTGATGCCGATAGAGTACATCACACGCACATTTGATAACCGCATGTTTGATTAAAAAAATCTTTTTCTATGGTCACATGTACTTTGATCAAATGCCACAATCGTTATTCATGCACCAAGATCGCTGGGAAAAAGACTAAGCGCATTATTTGCCCAAGACATGAATTTGATACATTTTTGTTGACTGTATGTATTTTGCAAATAAATGGTTGTTAGAAAAGTGATAGTAATCCAGAGGACCCTTCGATATTCCTTTGTATCGATTTATTTTGTAATATACGGCATGATGTATTCCTTTAATGCGTACCATGCTGTATACACATGTAAAGCTAATTGAGCGAAAAAGGAGGCAAAAGAAATATTTGTCCAAATAAACTGAGGTAGTACTTCCTTTGGTAGCTACATCCCCAACAGTTGCAAAATATGCAATTTTGTCTTTTTCCTGCAATAGTAACACACAGAAGAATAGAGCTGACTTTACAAAAGTTTTTGAGGACCCCTTCTCAGATTTTATGAAAATGTTACTAAAGAAATCAAATTTTGGACCCTTGGTTTACTTGTAAAATGGTATATTATATAGGTACCAAGGAACTTAAGTGTATGTTTTAATACCGAGGGCGCGTTGACTACAATAAGCTTCCGAGGGATTAGGGCGCACTTTAGACCTGTGGTATATACGCTATTCTTTGTACTCCTGTTACCAGCTACATCCTTTAGGTTTAGATAAATAATTTCGGCAACTTTAACTTGATGCTTCAGGAATTTCCTAAGATTTTAACATTTTTCGCAAAGTCAGTACCTTTCATTCCAACGACAAAATCCAAAGTGACATGGTGGCTAATATCGACACCTAGCTCGAATCGCTTAATAGGAAAACGATGAATGATCATTTTCCCGATTTTCAGAGTAGATGAATTTGTCGATAAATTAAAGGACAGGTTTACTAGTATCGAATTTTGCGCAATGGTACGTATATTGGACCAAAAGAAACATTTTTACATGGGGAGCCATCCGCCTCCCTCTAGTAAAGGAGGGTGAGTTACCCCTAAAGGTACAATTTTTTACAGGAAAACTACACCCTTTATCAAAAAAGACATGGTTACCTTTTTTTTATAGAGCAGAAAATGCTCTATCCATTAGGTGTATTAGCCTTTGTTTTATCACAACTCGAACTACTAAAATAATACCCCATTTGACAAACAAGTTGTAAATCAGCATATGCATGATTAAAGCGCATTTTTGGTAATGCAGGTCAGTATTTTATTAGCGAAGTTTAAAATTATCGATCTCACGAGTAATTTTGGCTGCGTTAAATAATTAATTTTATTTAATTTCAATTGACGGTACGTCTTCATTTTGTAAAACAAATCACAAAGTAAATAATAAGTTTTTATACTGGTAGCGCTATCTAACGGTAAAATTATAGCACCTCCGAAACCCATATCTAAATTATTTTCTTCAATTATCGATTTCACAAGTAATCTAACTCAAAATAGAGTAGTGCCTGCACATCTACACTATAGCAGAAAGCTTTTAGTGAAAATTTGAAGTCTCTAGCTATTGTAGTTGTGGAGATCTCACGCGGACAGCCGGCCTGCCAGCAATGACGAATATAATAGCGTATTTTTTTCAAAAATGCGCTAAAAACTCCTTTGAGGATTATTTGTTTTCACCAAAACATATTGGTCAAAAGGGAACTCTATTACAAAAATTGTTGTTAAAAAGATATGAAAAAAATACGACCCCCCCCCCCCCCCCAAACTATAATTTCTGTATCCGACTACATCAAAACAAAAATTTCACAGCTCACTCGACAGCAACTCATTTTTGATCGCAGAGTACCTATTCATAAATCACAATTGGCCCAAACCGAAATTTTAGGAAGGTGAGACTCCCTATAAGGGAGGGGTGAGAAACTGAACTTTTTGGTTTTAGCTTTTACAGGAAAACTACACAATTTAGCAAAAAAGCTCAAGTTACCTTTTTTGTAGAGCATAAAATTCCCTATCAATTGAGGGTACATACTAACTTTTGTTTTATCCCTACTCCAACGGCTTAAACCTCAAAATCGATTAATCAGTTTAAATTTGACAACCAATTTTCAGATGAAATTTTTGTAAATATATTTAATATATTTATAAATCCTAACAATCTTACTAAAAAAGGTATGTTGAGCCCAAAAGAAGTTGTCATAACTTCTTTTGGGCCCATTTTTGACTAAAAAAAATATGCAAAAAAGTCTAGAAAAAAGTATAAATATGCCCCTCTCCCCCACCTGATTACGCCAATCACTTGTTTATTATGACTAAATGTTTTATTATGACTAAAGCAGGCGTTTTGGATGAATCACTATTGCACCAAACCGGACATTGGAAAAATGAATTATACCAATAATCTTTGAGTTGACCATATTTTGAGTTGTCGGTCGGCTGCAAAAGTTTTTTAACTCTCGAATCATCTTAGGATGCTCGGATTTGAAGCATTAGCTTTGTATCACAATTCTTTGCATGTTGTAGGTTGACCGATGATACGTGTACCTCTTTTTTATTGTAATAAAAGGAGATCCGAAGTAAATATTTTGTGCGTTATCAGTTTGTTAAATTTTGATTTTTGATTAACCATAAGATTATACTTGCCCTACTTTAGCGATCATTTTGGATCAAAGAAACCCAAAATTTAATTGATAGATAGAGAAAAATAAAATTTACGCTCTGTTGGAAACCACGCTTAACCCATTTACGTATTACGGTTTTGTACGGAAATGTTAAGGGAAAGTGCTTTCTCTCTCTAAAGAAACAAATTAAACGTACACTTTGTATTAATTTTTTTTATTTTTGTCTTTACTTTTGAGCGAACAGGGTTTATGAAGGACTGTTTAACCAATTTTACACTATATATTTACAAATATTCATGCTCGAACCCTAATTCAAAACAGGGACTCTTAGTACCGCAGTCCACCTTCAACTCACACGCCATAATACGGAAAATGTCAAAAAATGACAGTTTTTTGTTACTTTGACACACTTGCGCATTCGCGATTCTGCCCAAACGCTTTTCGGCTCTTCCTTTTATGTCTAAGAATACATGTATCAAATTTGGTTGCAACCTGTTTAGCCGTTTAGTCGGAAATGAGAGTACAGATGGATCGAGAGACAGACAGACAGACATTATCAAGATTTTGTTTGATTCGGATTCCTAGTGCTTCGTGTATTTCCGTAAAAATAAGTGGACGGTTTTTTTTACCACAATACAATGCCTCGCTCTACTACACTAACGTGCAGTGGTAAAAATAGACGCACCTACACAGACTAAAGGGCGTAATAAAATTATTAAGCGGCAGAGTAAAGTGATGCAAGCTTTATAAGCGAGTCGATGATTTCCTCCTTTCCGTCTGTCTGTCCGTGAACATGACAACTACCAAACGCTTGGATCGATTTGGTTCAAATGCGCTTTTTGTAAAACGTTTACGATTACTTTTTACGACCCGCACGTTAGTAAGAGAGGTATTGCATTGTGTTAAACAATGATCCCCCACTTGCTTGACGAAAATACACGTTTTGAACACCCAGGAATCCGAATCAAACAAAATCTCGATGAAATCTGTTTGTCTGTACTCTCATTTCCGGCTCAACGGCTGAACCGATTGGAACCAAATTTGGTACACATATTCTTAGACATAAAAGAAAGAGCGTAAAAGCTGTTGGGCAGAACTGGTACTGTTACTGTTCAAAGGGAGACAATTGCAGAACCTTTTCTTAAAAGAAGAGCACATGAAAAGGACACGCGCTACGCGAATTTGGGGCTTTAGCACTTTTTCAAAGATCGTTAATCAATGTTCGCATGCTTGACAGAAAATGCGTCAAAATCGCAGAGGGAAAATGCGTTGAGTCCTGTGTAATGGTCAAAACAATAGAAGGAATCCAAAAGAAACCAATTTTCATATGGGCCAATAAAAAATTGACCGTAATTCTTAATAGTTTAAGATATAACATCCGAATTACATTGAATTCTGTAAAAGGTCAGCAACAATTTTCCTGTGGGAACCTGAATAATTTAGTTTTTAGTAATAAAATGGCACATACAGCAAACTGACTTTTGGAAAAAAGCGAGCAATAAAGGATGTAAGGCTATCAAAACTTTGAGCTAGGAAGCTGTTCTGTCAAGAATTTGGCAACTGGTTTAACTTATTGAATTGCAGTGAGTATTATTGTGAATCGGTGGGAGCGCAGTGGTATAAAAACCTCCATTCATGCATCCATCCAATTTTGACTGTAACAAATTCAGAACGTGTATTAGGAAAAAATTTGTATGGAGGTTTGAGATCTCAGCACAGCATTTTTTTAAAATGAATTTAACAATTACTCGTATTATACCTATATTATTTTTGGACAGAATGGAAAGCAAAAATGCATACTATGATTTCAGGATTGTATAAAATAAATTTGCCTAGTTTATGGAAAGGCATTTATCTTCTGGAAGTTATGCAGTACCTAAGTGTCATTAGGTGATATCAATTACGGAACAACTTTGCCCCTTTTAAGGTATATCATATTAAGTAGGCTAGAATGAAATTAATAATTTGGTTGTAAAATATAATGCCGCGAAATTTATCACATTTATCTTCATGATCGAAAGTGTCCCCGTTTAATTATAAAATTAATTAATCAAAACATTTTGATGTTACTAATAAATCAGTCTGCTCTTATCTGCGTTAATATGCTAATCGGACAGTACGTAACTGAATTTCTACGCCCCACAATTACGAATCTTAAAAGTTCTATTTAGGTACTGTTTCTGTGGTAAATACGTATTTTGTTTTATTGGACGAGTACAATAAATTATGATTTCAATATAGATAATACAAAGATCATACGTTCGTACAGATTTAAGCATTGCGTGCAGTTACCCAGTAAATTAACGCAACATACGCCAGAAAATTAATGATCGTAAATCTATTTACAACTCAAAAACGCTTCTTATCAATAAGTAAGTCAAAAATTTTTAAATGCCATAAATAATTTCAACCTCGTATTTTGTAAATATGTCACTCGTTAATGAGAAAATTTCCCTGGCACTTAAATGATCAAGAAAAATTGTCCGCCTCCAGCGGACGGTGAGAAAATTAGGTGTATGTAATTAATCAGCTGCTGTTTGAATATTTAAAATAAGTGGTTTTTCGCCCGAGGAAAACGGTTAACCTGGCCGTCTACATGACAGGACTCGTGATCAAGAATCCTTAATTACATACAACTGGTAATTTGTAAATCAATGTCATATGTCCATATCGAACAAAAAGAAGTAAATTAATACCGACTCACGTATGTACGTGAGGAAATTTTTAAGACGACTTGTAATTAAATTTGTAGAAGAAAGTAGAATTGTAAATTGCATAATTTAGTTAGTGGGTCGTTTTTCGGAGATTACATCCAATTTCATTTGAATAAACAAAAAAACGACGAATTGGGGTAAACCAGAAAGGAAATTGATGTTACTTTGCATTAATACCACGATTCTCAAATGCGTTTTAAATTGATCTTTGAGCGAAAACGCGAGAGTTCGTCGAGTGGGAAATGGAATTATTTGCCCATTTATTAATAATTTCTTTTGCTTGCAGATGGTGCAATACTGGAAGAGACGTCGCCAACCAAGCCTTCGCCTGAACCGGACGAATCTCTCCTCCTAAACTCCGACGCTTTGCCATTCTTCTTGGTCGAACCTCAAGACTCTTACGTTGTTAAGAACCGGGCGGCGCTTTTACAGTGTCGCGCCGCGCACACCCTTAAAATGCACTTTAAGTGTAATGGTGCTCGAAGTGTTGACACTTTGCAATCGGACTTTGTAGACCCTCAGACGGGGGTTAGGTTCGTCGAGGCCGAATTGAACGTTACAAGAAATATGGTCGAGGAATTTTTCGGTAAAGAGAAATTTAAGTGCGAGTGCTACGCTTGGAGCGGAAGAGGAAGCGTTAAAAGTCAACCTGCGACAGTTGAAGTTGCCTGTGAGTTTTCGAAATTATTACATTTTCCTTTATTTTCAGAGCGCTCCTAAAAGGACACAAAGGGACATTATAAACTACCATACTTACAAACCTTCTTTCTTTTGCGTTAAAGATTCAAGAGTCGCGACGACGTTTTCGTTCAGTAAATGTCGTCGTGCACATGTATAACATAAGGAAAATACAGATATTTCATAATTTCTTTGAAGAATGTTTTAAATGAAGTTACAAATGTTATAATTACAATAAAAATAATTCAATTTCACATACATTTTAAGCCGGATGTTCAACATTTATTTATAGCGGGGCGCGACTTTCTAATTCACGCGTTTAATCTGGCAGTATCTTCTGAGCCTTACATCCTGTACTATATCAAAATGGCTTATATTGGTTTTGGACTACAAACATCGGTTTTGTCAGTAATTAGTATCCTACATGCCATGTGGTATTTTTCAACCTTGTCATGAATATGCGAATGTACCTAATACCTTAGACAAAGTATGAGTATTACAAATGCTGCCACGATGAAAATAGACTACGACAAGGAAAATGGCATTGCTTTCCTCGAAATTAGGATATACAGCTCAGAAGAGTTTCATTGCCCTGAAATGCAAGGCATCCCTGAATAGCAGAATCTAAATTTCTTAACATAATGTTACTTCAACGGTTGTATACAGCGATATTTATTAAGAAGTAGACAGAGGGATTTATGTGTATTGTTTTTCCCTATGTCTACTTTTAAATGACAAAATCTCTTCTGAAGGACGCCTAATTTTAGACAATCAAAATAACTTTTCAAAACAAATAAAAATCTGACTGTTATTAATTAATTTGAATATTGTTCCTTTGGCTTCCGTATGTTTGTATTTTTTCGTGTGCGATGTAGATTTATTTTCTGTGAAGCTAATGTAACAATATTCAAATTAGTTAATGGTAGTTAGATCCTTTTTTGTTATTTTGGATGCATACAATTAGGCGTCCTTCATAAGAGATTTTGTCATTTTAAAGTAGACAATATAGGTAAACACAATACACATAATATTCCTATGTCTATGATTGATGTACGACTCCATGTAGGTAATAGGTTATTTATCAAGGGTGTATTCTATATATTTAGAACTACCTATTATTAAATTAAAAGTTCCTCTTTCGGCGATCGATTTCGACTTTATTAATGTCATCATCAGGCCGTAGCGTCTAAGTTAAAATATAATAATAATATGTGGATGAATGGTAGTAACATTAACATTTATGTGCATTGATGTGGATGTTGATGGACTTTGTTGTGGTCAACCTCACATTACAACCACAACAGTTGACTAAATCCTGAGAGAGGCGGCGACGCCAGGTATATGTCAAAGTATCAAGTATCAATAGTGTAACAAATATAACTAGCCGCCAGAGAAAAGTTAATTATTCAATCACTTTTCACTCTCAAAACTTAAAACCAGTTGGCGGCAATTTACAAGAAAAGGCTTTCGCGCAAAATGTGGGAAAATATATAATAATAACGGATAAGAGGAGCTTCGGCGGTGTAAATAGGAAAGGATTCCGTTTTTCAGGAAATGGAAATAGGAACCGAGAATTACAGCATAAAATGGAAATTTTACCGTCATACTATTTCAATTATGCGTTTCCATATCACAATTTAAGAACAGGAATAATTCCAAGCAAAGGAGACGTATACAATTGAAAGCGATTGTGCAATTAGTTTCAATAACCCCCATTTTTTGTTCGTTCCCTTACAATAGTAAAGCCAATAAAATCGCGTTGTACTTCGAAATATGAAATTGAAACTTATAATTGGAAATACCTAAAGGTTCATTCGTAATGATTATTGTAAGAGAATCGCCTCCCCTTTCTTTGGTTGTCCCCGTTCGGCCTACCGCAAAACCTTTGTTCGTGGGGTTTTGTTATACCTACAATTGAAATACGACCCGCTTCTAAATTAATATTTACATATTAATTCAATTTAAGGGTTATTCTGTACCGAAACTATTAGTAATCGGGGAAAATTCATAATGATTAAGTTTCTCAAAATTGATTACGGCTTAATTGCAAACGTGAGTTGGGGCTTCTTTTAACCGATTTAATCTACATTTAGTGTATCGAGGCAGTCGATCGTTGTAATGAAAGACTTAAAGCCAAGGATTAATTACTTAATCCGTTGTGATTATCGGGAAGGTCTAAATAAAGTTTTTTAGACAAAGGATGTCGAGAGAGTTTTTCATTAGGCTCAAAGATCCTTCGGGAGAATTGATATAAATTATTCAATTAGAATTGTAATGCCGAAAAATGGTGCACTTCTGAGATATGCGCGCTGGAAGATTTATGGGAAAAGTCCAACGTTTATGTATACCCGCTGCATTAAGGTAGCCGAGATATTTTCCAAAACAAAACTACACGGGAATGAAATTTATGTTCGACTCGAGACGTATACATGTTGAATGTAATATAACTTTCAGTTGACAATACCATTTTACAAAATAGCAACGCCTTAATAATTCCACGTCGTCATTCTCATATATACAGTAACGTAAAATGAATGTATGCACATAAATTTCTTCTCACATACGGGGCAGAACATGATGACACCTTTTTTTAGAAGATCTAAGAATTTGAAATTCGTGATATTTGCCCGTGAAGTGTTCGATTTGACAAATAAGTTACGTCTGGCCTCAAGAGTATAAAAGTCGAGAGGACCGCATTGTTTCTTTTTTCGTTTCGTATATTTTTACATTCAACGGAAACACGGTGTTGCACTTTAAACTGTTAAGGCTGGTAGGAAAACATGTCTTTGGGTAAAGTGACGCGTTTATCTTGGAACCTCTCTAAAAGTAACTACCCGCACCTAAACTTCTCTTTTTTCGGCGAGACACGAAATTAATCATAACAGGATCGCGCTTTTCTCTCACACGCAATTTGGGAAGCTATTACACAATCAACTTAACAGAAAATCCATTTTGTCAACAAGATGGGTTGCAAGTGAAGCTTCACAAATCGAGAACTTGAACTGAATTCACAATGATGCGCTAAAAGTCTTCTTCGCAAATTTAGAGAACGTGCGATCTCTCTATCGTATCAATAAAAATTTATCATCATGAAATTTGCTGAACGGGAGCAGTTACTCTTGCATCATGTAATTTCTTATCTGACTCTTTAGACAGAAGCTGACATTTAAGAATTTTGTACTGGAAGTAAAGTAAATACACCTTTTTCTCTGCGTCTTTGTAGAATGAGCACAACGGCGGAGAGATGTAAAAGGCATTGTTTGCTTTTGTTGGTGACAGTGAAGCTCTGCAGTATTTTTTTCTCTTTAATTTAAATCTCGTTAGCTTACTAAGTATTATGTCATTAAACGTATATCCGTGCCGTAAAATGAAGCGATTTAAACGCCTCTTAAATTCTTGGCAACCAACTGTTGTGTCTATCGAAGTGTGGCTTAACTTTTACAGTGCCTCGGACTTAAAGGATAGCCCGACAATTGAACCAAAGTATTTAATCAATGAACAAGATGGAACTATTTGTTGATGGAATTAATTAGAGCTGTAGAAACTGCAACTTCGGAAACTATGACAATGACATGCAGTTTCGCAAACCAAACTACAGTTTTCAACTGCCCTCCCCAGTCTCCACGTATAGAGAAATTTTGGGAACTGAAACGCCATTTTCGTGTGTAACGAGTGGTTTGATTTCGCGCCAAATTTCATTAAAAATTTCGAAATTTCTTGTCATGATAGTGAAGGTCACCCTGTATATTTCATTATTTGTTCCGGTTAGAAATTTTGTGTTTGGGCATTTCGGTTCGCTCAAGACTATGGTCCGATAGATTTAATTTCGCTCAGATTTAATTTCGTCGTGGGAAGAGTGCAAAGCTGATTGACGTCATCATGAGTAATGCGAGTTTTTTGTCGTTCGTTTATCAACTTTGGCGCCGTCTAGACCGAGAATAGGAGCGGATGTAGCACCGACCGTCAAGAGATAAGGAGTTTTCACGTCATCAGCAGAAAACCGTGAGATCAGTTTAGTCAGCAGTTCCTTGAGGTTGACGACGAAGTTAGAGTGGGTTAAGTCTTCTTTATCTAAACCAATGGGAGAATTTCTAGCGGGAGCCATTTTTGTTTTATGGTAATTTGGGTGTGGTTTTTTCATTTCAATTCTGAAAAAGGGGAGCGTTTTAGGAAAGACTCGCGTTTTGTACGTCGAGGGGTCAACACGTACTTTGAGTGATCGCGTTTTTAAGAGACTCTCGGTTAGTACGTCGAGGGGTCAACACGTACTTTGAGTGATCGCGTTTTGGGAAGACTCGCGGTTAGTACGTCAAGCGATCAACACGTACCTTGAGCGATCGTTTTGGTACACTTAGCGGTTTGAGCC